CCGAAATGTGAAAACAAATCCAAACTACAAACAACATCTATTCAATTGTTCATCATTACTCATTTGACCTGATGGATTCGAAAAAATATTATTACTAAGGTAATGAAAGTTTATTTATTTATATATAACAAAATCACGATAACATTTTTTAAAAAATATTAATAAAAATAAAAAATTTATGATCCTAAAAAATGGAAGTACTCTTGGAAGAATGGTATGCGTATAGATAAATGTTCGAAGTTAAAGATTTTTTTTTTCTATATTCCGGAAGTAGGTCATATAGAAAATAAATTCAGAACATTCAAAACGACCAATGACGTTATAAAATTTGAAAAAAAAAAAATTTATAGATCTACTTGCATTTATTACACTTTTTGTTTGATGCTGTATTGTTCTACTAATATTTTAAATAAGATCTGGTGGTATATTATATGCAGGTCTTATTCCCAATGTTAAATTGAAGCCATCAGGTTGTTTATGAAGAATCAACCTTCGGTGATTTTGTTTAGTCAATTTTCTCCCTCCCTTTTCTTGTTTACGTTAAGTATCATCCCGCAAATTCTTTCTGCTATACACTAACGAATCCAGGATTTAATTTTTGGGAGGGAGGGCTTCAGCCTGAATGTTTTATATATATATATATATATATAACTTTATTAAATATAATTACACGAACAGTAATACATTTAGAGATAATTTTTTCCATAAGACGTTTTATATTTTATCATTTTGGGGTTGACTTCAACCCGAAAGGGCCCCTCCCGCCACCCCCATAGATCCGCCTATACTGCTATACGACGCACTCCTATTTGCCAATATATTTTAATAATGTCTCTGATTCAGATTTTATATTTATAATAAGAATTATATCCGTTATTAAATCTATTTCCGTTAATTATCGTTTATGGATGATTACATAAGCAGAGCGCCCTTAAAATAATGGTGTTTTTGTTCTCGGTAAATAACTTCAGAATGGGAGGAACTACCGTACCCATTATCTCTTCGCCGTCAAGAAAAATACTGAGTGATAGGTTAGTCCTTGAAATAAACAAATTGCTCTGCAAAGCGTTTTCCTAGAGTTAACCACTTTCCCATAGAACAATGACGTAATTATATTCTTGTTCTGATTATTCTTTGCAATTAATTCCTTAGTTCTGAAAGAAATTAAAAATAATCATGTGTTCAGCATTTACAAAAAAAGAGAAAAAAGGAGGTCTAACTACGATTGTTTACTTTACAAAGGCATGTGTAGCCCAACTACATAGTTTTATCCAGAGATGGGCAAATGTTACTTTGAGTAGTGAGTACCAAGTATTTTACGCAAATTCTGACCTTTCTTGAGTACCAAAGAATTTAATTACTACTTTACAGTTGACGCCAAACTATTTACTGAAGTAGTAATTGAATTCCCAACAGTGTTTCAATTTGAGTAAAATACTTAGTACTCGGTACTCACAGTAGTATTTTCCATCCCTGGTTGTATCCAAATGTTGTGGCTGATTTCAAACTTTTATTTCCAATAATTAATTTTATCATGATGTAGAGATGGTTGACTGTTGGTATAATATCAGAAGGAGTTGATCAGGGTGTGCGGTAAAATCTATACTAAATTAAACAAGTAGAATTATTTTTTGCCACTCAAAGCAAAAATTAAATAATTCTACTCAAGGCAAAAATTAAATAATTCTACTTATTTAATTTAGTATTAATTTGACCGTACCCCCCGATCTACTCCTTCTCAAATTAATTTTATCTTGAAAACATACAATTGCTGTCAACTGTAAGCAAAACTGTTCTTCTTTTCAAACTTCACAGAACAAGAATTGCCGTAAATCATTATCAGGCATACGAGTAGAGATGGGCAAATGCTACTTTAGTTTTCAAGATAAAATTAATTTGAGGAGTTGATCGGGGTGTGCGGTAAAATTAATACTAAATTAAACAAGTAGAATTATTTAATTTTTGCTTTGAGTAGAATTATTTAATTTTTGCTTTGAGTGGCAAAAATTAAATAATTCTAAGTGTTTAATTTAGTATTAATTTTACCGCACACCCCGATCAGCTCCTTCTCATATTATATCAACGGCCAACCATCTCTACATCATCATGATAAAATTAATCGTTGGAAACAAAAGTTTGAAATCAGCCACAACATTTGGATACAACCAGAGATGGAAAATACAATTCTGAGTACCGAGTACCAGGTATTTTACTCAAATTGAATCACTGTTGGGAATTCAATCACAACTTCAATTCATCGTTTGACATCAAATGAAGTAGTAATTAAATCCTTTGGTTCCCAAAACAGGTCAGTAATTTAGTAAAATACTTGGTACTCAGTACTCAAAGTCTAATTTATATATTACTTGGTGAGAGCTAAATTGACTTATCAGCAAAGGGTTTATGACGGTGGAATATATTTTAATTATAGGCGCGATAGTGTGCTCCGCGCCACGTTATCTCCGATGGCAAACACTGATAGTATTGTGTTCACAACTATCAAAGCTTCTGCTAACACGTATTAGGAGCCGGCTCAGTTTTTGTCAACGCCATAAACCTTGTAAAATAAATCAGTATGTAGAGTATATGGTTCACCATCAACATTATCATAGCGATGAGGTCACCGCCGCGGTGTCCTGCAGCAGTGTGGTCACTGTCATGGGCCAGGCCCCGACAATTCGTCACGCTCTTTCATAGTCGGATCATAGTTCTCGTGCACAATGAATAATAACATCCTATTATTTCATCACGAAAAATGGCGATAATAAAATTTTACTATTTAAAATTTAAATTTTGTATTTAGAACACAGCTTAATTTTTAGAATGAAAGCAAAGCGAAGGTGATACCAGTATGACAGTATTTGTATAAGTGAATAATGTTCCTTCCAGCAACTTTAAAAGATAGAGGATAGCAGTTCCTTAGGTACAGCCACCATAATCAGAGACTGGTCACATGTTTCAATACCTTTGGCCATGTTCAAAACCGATGTAATCTGTATTGCCATGGTTGATTTTTAATTTCACTTACTTATATATGAAATTTTTAGTAAAGGAGAGTATTGAGATCGTGAAAATTATCGAATTCTAGTTTTCAACGGAAACATACTTTTTGAGGTCTGAATAACCCCTTGGTCTAATAAGGCCCTGGGTCTAAATAACCAAATTGGTCTTTGTGTATAAGAGAGACTTATTACTGTTGTGACAGTTGTCATATTAGGGAAACTATAATTATTATTATTATTATTATTATTAAACTATAGTTGTGCCTGTTTGAGCGTATTTCTAACGCATCGTGCGATATTAACGCTAGTAGTAAGTTTCTTTGAATAATTGTTGTTATATATGTACACATCCATTGGTGAATGTTTTTCCTTGTTAAAGGTTAAACGTTAGTTGTTAATTAGCAGTGATTAACGTACTTAGATAATTTTATATTTTCGTGGTGACTGTTTTTTTGTGGAGTGCATTGACTACGGTTGTGACATATTTTTTAAGTAAGGTTGTGACACAAGTCATCCTTTTATCTTTTAGATACCTAGAAAACACTCAAGGAATACCGAAAGTTGATTCTTACACAAATGTCTATACCTTATTATAAGCGAATAAATCGTTTTATAATGTCACCATCGTTCTTGAGGAGGGGTCGGCTTGGACATCCTCCTTTTTTTCTTATTTGCTCCTATGAAATAATCATTTTACTTAATAATAATAATAATAATAATAATAATAATTAGACTTAGCGAACTCGAAGGTTCGATGCCTATACCACCAATTGATGTCATCCACCGGGCTCTGTCTAAACCCAACCTCGCCAAATCAGCCTTAAAGCAACCTCCTTCGCTTCTGTCTAGCCCTCAGAGCATATTAACCTTTTAGGAATTCTTTCGTTTCTAAGCCCAGCGATTTTACATGGCCATTTTATTCGCCTTAACTTAATCTTTTCAATTATGTTAACCGGATACAGTTCACGCAGTTCAGCGTTGTGTAATCGTCTGAATTCTTCGTTTGACTGCTGAAATATTCTGCGCAATATTTTATTTTCAAAAACCTTAAGACGTTGTTCATCCCTTATTGTAAGCGGCCGCATTTCGCATCCATAAAAAACCGTAGGAAGGATAATAGTTTTGTAAATTATAATTTCCAAGTTTCGGGACAGGAAGCTAGAACTAATTAGTTTTGACAAAGAGAAATAACTAGCATTTCTCGCCTTTAGCCTAACCTTAATATTCTCTTCAATTTCGTTTTTTGTAGCAATCGTTGATCCCAGATACCTAAAATTCGGTACGTGTTCAAACACATTTCCGACTACATCACTCTCTCCTAAATGCTCCTTTCCAATATGCTACATTTAGTGTTGCCCAAATGCGAGACCGAGACGAGTCTTGGTCTTGCAAACTCAGTCTTGGTCTTGCGAAAGAGTCTCGCAACGGTCTTTCAGTTACCTATTAGCTTACTACTATAGAGATATTACTGTATTTTTTTAGGTAGGGGAAACGTAAGTAAGTCCCAATGAAAAATTAGATGAGTTAAATGCAAAAGTATATTGGTTATACCAATTCTTTACATATAGTATCTAAAATTGTCAAGCATTAGTAACTATTTTGCCTTAATTGTTATTCAAAAAATCGATTTTATTTACCAGTCTTGGTCTTGGTCTTGCAACAGTGAGGCGATCTAGCTACATTACCAATAATTAAAGAATAAATTTATATTTGCCAATGAGTTTAGTTGGATTAACTGATTAAATTAAATTTCTTTCTTGTTTGTCTTTCTCAATTACTTGTCGTTCCATTCGAATAATCTAGATAAATTATCGATTTGTTTTCATATTTAAAAAAATGCACCTTGTTCACAACTATAGCTGCTAAATCAATTTATGATTTTATTTTCAAAGAGGGTGCTCGACGATTCCAAATTTAGCACGTTACTTTTTTACGATAATTGTTTTTTTTTACAATATTTGCCTTATGCTTTTTTTTTTCTTTGCTATTATTATCTCTGTTTACTGCATGCTGGGAGTGCTGTGGCGAAAGAGGTGTTTTATCATTAAGGCATTTCCTCAATTGCTGGCGGTGCCACTTGAAGTTATCATTCAATAAGTATTTTATCGTCAGGTAAGTGATGTGATATTTGTCGGGAACTCGAGAGGTGCCCAGTCTGTGTATTACAGTGCCCTGTATAACTGCCATCGCCATCGAACACCATGGTCAGCCTGGAAGATTTCAGTGGATATTCTTTTAACTTAATGAGCAAGATGTACCTTCCCGACTGCTGCAGTATGTCGAAAATACCTCAACAATATTTTGGCATAATTTTATGTAGTGTCAGGCCATACTGTACTTCAAGTGTCGTTATTTTTTTGTGTACTGCGATCATTAAGTAGATATTCAATACTCAAACTATTACATATAACATTTATATTATATTTCATTTATAACCATAGTTGAGAAATTATGGTATCCAGTAAGGGCATTTTTAGGATATTCTGAGTCTATAAATTCTAAAAAAGGTTCTTCGCCTTCGCCTAATTCTAAGGAAGTTTTGTTTTCCTGATCTTTTATACTGTTTTGGATAAAATTTTATCAAAGATAAATGCTGATTTGAAGTGTGTTGGATGGTATTTATAATGTTTGTTATTGCTTAGTTGACACCTTGCTGAAATACTATAAAATAAGACTCCTGCTAAGAAGACTTGGCTTTTTTTTTTTTTATTCTTGCCAGTATTTAATACCAGTTGAGTATTACCATAACCATAACATTACTTTCTATGGAGGCACTGTTACTTCACCGACAGTCATTCGATTTAATCGGCTTCCACATTTCCTTTTGTTTTTTAGGGGCTAGATGTGACCTGTGAAATTTACTTTACACCTTTCAAATTTTAAGCAAACCTTTGTGTTTTCAATTCCAATATTCAAACCACCTAATGCAAAGTATCGGAGCCTTCAGTTGAAAATATTAAGCGGGATCATAACTTCATTCTCTCTTTGAACATCCAGATCGAGCTATACCAATCCTTGCTTCATTTAGTGAAATATTTTAAGTCGATATGAAATAAAGTTCCATCCGTGAGATAAATTTGGTTATATAAAATAAATAAATAAAAACTACACTTAAACTATATTTATGATTTTAGCTCAAATATTTTATGAGAATATTTTATTAATAAAGTCGTTGTATTGTGATCCTCTCCCGTTTGTAGGACTCCGATGGCCTCTTAAACCGCGAAATCGTTTTCGTTGAAACCTTATTGTATGTAGGCCATGTATTGGTTCAGCTTCCTGAAGAAAGCAAAGACTTGAATAAATGGCATTGAGAGATGGTATCAGCAGTCAAAGTTCAATCCGTTGTTTAACAATAAATCGAGTTGATAAAAATCCATTGTGTACATAGTTTGCATTGCCCTCGCTCTTGTGATAAAGTGGTTGTATAATTTTCATTTAATTTATTTATTTACTATCAAAAAATGTTATTATTTCCACTCTTTACTGGGTCCGATTCATCCTGGAAACATTTCCATTTTTTTTTGCTTAGGTGTTGTTATTATCGTCTCGAAACTGATTGTTTCGCCATTAACGAATTCAGGTTCGACAATTCATTAAATACATTTGTTGAAAATGTTTCCTACTTATCAAAGACCTAACAAAAAAAATACCTGTACCAGTATAATCCATAAATAGTTTTGGGTTCAATACTATTTAGAGAAATCTGTTTCTTGGTCAACAGTTGTGCAAGGGAGTGACTTTGACCAAGACCACGCTCAACTGCCAGGTTTTCTCCCTTAATCAATTATTTAATGAAGTTTACCCACTTTATACAGGCCGGGTATACCCGAGGAGGGTCCCCCGACCCCAGGATCGATGAAACAGAATAAATAATTTATAATAAGACCTAACGGTTCCACGAAAGTAGATATTGTTTTTTTATAGGAAAAAAAAAGGAATTGTGAGCTGGTAATTCTAAATATTTAAAAGAATAAGCATTTCCGTTACCGAGTTATCATAAAGAGAATCTTGAAGAGTTATTGAACATCTATCGAAGTACTAATTCTAAATTTCATAGATCATTCCGCACGCCAGGGTTGGAATGAAAAATAACAAAGATTGATAAACCTGGAAGTGTGGAAGATAGCGAAATATAAAATGAAAGTAATAAATCTTCTGCTTATAACCCCAACTTTTTTCACACTAGATTTCATTCTGCCCCATAGTGCCATGCTACGTTTGCCTGATTTTTTCAATATGGTTATAATATCACATTTAGTCAATAACTTGTGTAATGTAGTATTTTTTGTCTGTAAAAGATACTACATCGCAGAAACAATGTGTGCTTAATAAATTTTATATATTCGGTGTTAATAAATTCCTTTATAGTTAGTTTTTTTGCATGGCATACCTTGAGCGCCTGCTGGAATCGAATAAATGTATTCACTATCGAAAAGCCACGTTATATAACATCAGTACTATAACTAATCAGGTTCGATCCCGTGACAGTAAGATTCGAAATTCATTTAGCTGCGCTAGTACGTAGAAAATATTAACTCGACCTTTGTTCGAATCGAACCTATACCACTTAATATAACCCTAGACCCTTGTTTTCAAAGTGCTCGGCAATCACGTACCCAATAATTTTTCTAGAGAGGGACTATGGGTCATAGGAGGTCAGTGCCTTACTGAGCCACCTTGCTCTCCTATCGAATTGTAAGGGAAACACAATGGATGCTGGATAAAACACATCTCGAGGACTGAAGATACATAAAGCTGCCCGCTAGAGGATAGAGGATTAGCGAGCTGCGGTGAGTCCAGTGGTCCGTACCGCTAACAGTCCTCTTGCTCTTTAATTGGCCTCTTTTTGTCCGCTTTGGCTAAAAAGTGAAACGGTTTTTATCATAACTCCCCGGTGCAATAGCCGCTAATGAGGGGTACCCACGCTGCCTTCTTGTTACTTGTATTTTACTATTCATCATTAAATATATTATATATATATCTTACTTTAATGTAAATCTGTATTTCATGTTATCTAACGTATGCTTTCTTTTTTGTCTGTGCAGTGTACTGTAGTGAACGGATGAGGCAGATGAATAGAACCTATGATGATATTGAAGCAGTCAGAAGACTACTCAGTGAGGTATATATTGCGTTTTAAATTAGCCTTTAGTGTATGTATTTGAGTGTTATATATATATATATATATATATATATATATATATTATATATATATATATATATAGAGAGAGAGAGAGAGAGAGAGAGAGAGAGAGAGAGATTGAAATAGTTAATTCTTAAATGTATAATTGGCATTGTATATGAATTTATTGTAACAAGCTCATTTCCGACATTAGACATGTGACGCACCTAGACACTGACGTCGTTTATCTTTAATTTTTCAAAAAATAAATTTCTATCCTAAGGTGTTTTATGTGAGTAGTAATACTTTATTCAATGTGCTTCTAATTCAGCATGTTCCGGGGTTGACTTACCCGAATGTAGGACAATGCGTAATATATTAAATACTACAGAATAAGTTTATGCTTGATAGCAGAAACTGCGACTTAGTATTTTGAAAAAAAAATCCAAAAGGAGGTAGTACGGGAGTTGGTCATACATTTTTTTTATATATATATATTATATATATAATGATAATTGGGGGTGGGGTGACCATGCGGGCTAGCGCTTGTGCAGGACACACTGTGCATCTCAACAAGATGATTGATAAACCGAAAATTACAAGATATGAAATAATACGAGTTCTCGTCCCGGTTCTGGTGGTATTTTAACTCTGGGCCATTGATCTCCCGCTCTCTCCCCTAGTCCGGGAAAATCCCCGTCTAGCCTTAAAGGAGAGGTTGGGATGGACGAAAAAAATGATAATCTGGTGCAAATGTAAATCAGGTTAGTACTTAGATTTAGTTCTAAAGGCGTATTTTTGAGAGCGAGTAATTTGATGATTTATTTGACGTCCAATTTATTACTTCAATAATAACGCAGATTTTAAGAGAAATGTTTTGTCCCAGCAATTTGTACCCAATCAAGCAGCTCTTTTTCAAAGTGCTAAAAACTTATTGCAGGTGACAATATTTCAGTAATCCAAGGAGTAAATGAAATTAATATGATGATGCCGAAGATTTTACCTTTTCCGTATCAATATAATTTTTTAATAACGACATCTTTAAAAAGATCATTTTTGTGTTGTTTATTATCATTAAGTCCATACAATGGTGGTCAAAGTCTAACAACTGATCAACAATGCGAACTTTGCTAAGCAGTTCTCGATAATCAGTTCTTAACAATTATTCGATATTATTAAAGTTAAACATTGTAAAATCAACAAAAATAATATAAAACTCATATCCTGATGAAATAACTACATTGCCGCCGAAAACTATATACTCTTTTTCCGTTCCCTAGCTTGTCCTGCATTGTTTCCGAAAACCGGGACTTCTTGAAAACGCCGCGAGACGCGGGACAAATTGTCATAAATCAGGAAAGTTCGCCAAAAGCGGAACTTCTGGTTACCTTGTTCTAGGGGTACAACCAAACCTATCCTTACCGGAGTGAGAAGGTCGAGCTTCATTCCGTTGATTCGCCTCGAAATAAATCATAACCAGTCCAGAATTCCAACTGGCTTCGTTAGACGTTAGACTCAAGAATGTTTAACTTAATGCCTTAAAACGCTCGACCATCACGGGTATATTACATGTTGAAGAGGTGCACACTGGATAGCCCATACTCCCTCCAAAGGTGATGGTGTATCCTCCCCTTTCCAAGAAATTTTATTGCTCTAGTCTTGAAACTGTGCAACTGAAAATAGAATTATAAAAATAGTAGCTTTTATATAATAACTCTTGCTACCATCGATTCCAAGCTATTCTTCGTTGTCTGGTCTGATTGTACCTCCAAATTGAAACCAAACAAAAATATGATGGTGCTATATCCTCAACTCTGGGGAGACAAAACGTTCAAGTAGTAATTAGGAAAAACAATAATTACTTTTTTATAATTGACTTGTAACAAGTTTTAAAATAATAGAAAAGAAAATAACAACAATATGTAAAAATTGAAGAAATCTAATTTTCGTTAAGGTAACCAAAATTAAATCCTTAAAATGATAATACTGATTATTGGACATTTTTTGGGGCCTTGAAAATTATCCACTCTATTAAATTTGTTGTTTTGTTGCAGAAAGAACATGAGTTAGAACTGGTGACCAGGATTGGCCAGAATCTGCTATCTGAGAAGACTAAATTGCAGAGTGATATCGGCACATTAAAGGATGACCTATGCACTGCCAACGAGAAGATAACTCAACTAAGCCATGAGCTGACCCAGAAGACCGAACTCATCAACAACTTACTCAGTGATGTTGACGAAGTTCGCTCAGAAGGTATAAAGCATTCTTCTCTTTAAATGATCGAAATTCAGTGTTGTGTTGAACATTCCCAATGAGCACATTGGCAACAAATTTTGTTTATTTCAACATTGATTATCAGCTGGTATTGGAGGTTAAAAATATTAATGAAAGTTAAAATTAACCCACATTTGTGTTACTCTATGTAAACTATACCAATTTTTTCATTGTTATGATTAAACTCCTAAAGATTCTGTGCTGGTTGTGCCTTCGTTAAACTGTTGGATTTTCTTTTTCTTATGTTTTCTCTGCCTGATTCCTTGAATCCCATTTCTACATTTTTGACCCAATGGAATTTCAGTACACCTCTCTTCCAATCAATGTCTGTACAAAAGCTGAGACCCCTCTCCTCCTCCTCCCCCCCCCCCCCCGTTATTTGAAATTATTTCAATATGCCTAAACATCATAGAATTCTCTAATCCAAGGGAATGCCTAAATTTCATCACTCCTAATTGGGTCCTATGGATGGGACCCTCTTCTCTAAAGTCTAACCTATCTCAATGTAATAGTTTGTGTAAATATTGGATACATCTATTTCATGCTTCTATTCTTGCCTTCAGCTTCAGTCTACTAGGTATACTAAACTTAAATTTCATTTTGGAAACAAAATTATGGTTTTAAAATCTTATCCTATGTTATGCTATTCTTGCAATTTTCTGAATGTGGATTCAATCATTTGAAGATTTTTCTCTCCTATATTAGTGCTGAATGTACCTTTTTTTTTTTTTTAACAGTTATTACTTTACACTTATCTTCCTTAAACTAACAACAATTGTATATCCCTAATACAGAAATATAAAGTTATTGTTTTACAGGTGGGAGCCCTGGTTTCACCTCACAGCTCCAGCTGTCCTTCCTCGAGAAAAAGATCAAGTCGCTGGAAGAAGAGAATGTTGGCCTGCACAATGAAGCCGCTCGGCTAACCCAAGAAAATGAACACTGCGAAGAGACTGAGGCAAGACTGGTGGGTGAGCTTACACAGGAACTGAATTGTGGACGTGAGGAGCTGGAACTTGCAGCTTTGGAGAATGCCAAGCTGCGAGAGGAACGGAATCAAATGAAGGAAGTGATTGACCACCTTGAGGCCAGGGTCCAGACTGCAGATGAGAAGCTGACTCAGGTCTGTTGTTTTCATGTATTTTATAACCTATTGAAAGACATTTCTCTATAAATAAGTTGTTTTTAATCATCAGATAATCTGCTGAAATAGTTTAAGTTAATACAAATTTATTATTATATTATTTGTTTAGATTTATATATAGTAATTCACTTAGGGCGGGCGCAAATTGAGACACAGTTTAGTGAGCGGGTGTGATTCCACTCATGGTGAGATTCTGTGAAACGTACGTAGAATAGAATGGAACAGAAGGGTCAGCTCACAAAGGATTAAGCTCTATCTCCTTGAGCTGCAGATGTTTGTGTCTCTGCCACAGTTTTTCCTAAGTCATTCCGAATTGAGGCTCCAAAGGAGAAAATTTGTATGACACTTCACATTTTTTTATTGAAATTTACAATTGTATTAAATGAATTGAATATAAGCATTAAATATGCACAAGTTAGGAATAATGACATGAACGGACTTGTGGAGATACTATCCAATGGCAGCACTGCCTAAATAATTCTTGGTAAGAAGATCACGAAACTACCATCTTTTCAGACGCCTAGGAGGATTATCAGGAATCAAGGAAGTAGCAAGGCTGGAAACAAGTGGATTCTGATGGGACTGAGGTTTATCATGAAAGGATGGATATCTGGCCTGGACTAAATCAGCGGTTACATGCTCTTTAAAAGTAAAATTGTTATCGCAAATTTATTCTTGCACAAAAAAAAAAACACAATTACTTTCTAGATATTTGAAAGGTGATTCACAGTAAATGAATAAATTTCTCATCTAAAAAATACAGCAAATGGTATTCACATCAAATAGAGCTGGACGGACTATAACCTTCGGCAGCTATAGATTTCTAAATAAATCCATGCAATTGTATTCTGGTTACTCTACAATAATTTTTACATTTATAATTAGAAAATTCGTCTTTTAGGAATTATTATTCCATGCGTCTTTCGTCAAGGAACTTCTTTTTGTTTTTTTATGGAGTAATGAATTAATAATTCTGTCTTTCACATCATCGGAATCAGACTTGGTAATTAGTAATGAATCTTTAAAAAAATCAGTAATCCCACCCTGATGAAATGTTAAATTAACAACACAAAGGTCCGCAATTGTTAAAAACCGGCTCATCTTTCGCTCATACCAGCAGGATCACTCCTCACAGTCGATTTAATTCCAATTTCCTGTATTTAATACTGCTTCCATAGTGACATCCCTTTACCAAGCTGCGTCTCAACTTGTGCCGGGCCTTAAACTAGATGATCAGCCTGAGAAAAGCAGAGCTTATTCAGGTTGTATTAAACAAAACAAAAAATTCATTCCTTTTTCTAAGAAAATTATCTTGGGTTATTGAAATCAAACACATATTTCCATCTGTTAATAGTAAAATTGCTACCCACTCGCCAGAGAAATGATCATCATTGATTATTAACTTAACTTAATCTTAGGTTTAATATATTTTTTAAAAAATTGATTAACTCATTTTTTTTTTTAAATATTTTTCATTACTTATTAGTGAGTATATATTCATTATATTTTCATGATGGGATCCCGGTAGAAAAAATGCATAGCTATGTCTAATAGTTTCCTTATTAATATAATAGGATTTTTCTGTCCTCAGGTGATTAAGGAAAATGAGGAGTACATCCAGATAATAAACATAATGCGTGAAACACAGGGAGAGCTGACAGCAGAACTTGCAGACTGTAAGGAACGTTACAACGAAGTCCAACGCTTCCTAGAAGAGTACAGAGAAGGTAAAATTAGTTTGCTGTTCTGTTACCTTATGGTCTGTTCTTACAATCATCTTATATTTTGTTAATTCTTTCATGAAGCTTGTAAAATGTATGAATGTTTTATAAACCTCTTGATTTTAAGTAGTATCTAAATGTAATCCACCATTCTGCTGTATCTTATTTCAGAGTTATTTGTTTTTCATCTATAGATATCCTATGTATTATTTATAAAAGTATACATTTATTGGTGAGTCTAATGGTCGATTTCAATTTATTTGATTTCTTGAAGAAAGTAGTATTTGAAAAAAGAAGTTTTCTGTTTTATATCTCAACTGCTTATAAATATACTCTAGAATCTGATTATGCTCTGGGTTTTCTGTATCAATATAATTAAATGTATACTTCTACCTACAAATACAATAATAAACTGTCCTCACAAATTTTAAGTAGCACTCTTTTGAATGATTTTATTACTTTCATTTCTGAACCTAAAATTCTTTCATTAGCAATATTTATTGATTATTTTAGTGAAGAGAAAATAATTATGATACTATAATAAAGATTCTGGAACCTTGACTTTTGAGCACTCTATAACATAGTGGAGAAAAATTCAAAACTTGGAGAGGTAGATCCACCATTTAAAAGAATTGCCAAGGCTAATGATACATCATAATTAAATAGTGGTTTAAATTGATTTTAAAATGTTGTAACAAATGAGTTACAAAACTTTACGTTTTAATATTTACTAACTAAACATTAACTAACTTTTTTAAAATTGTCTAATTAATATTCTGTTTGCTTCCAGAGGAAAGGCGTAGCAAGAAGAAGATGAGCCCGAAGGTTCGAGTTGGTCCCGGCTATTGCACACAGCTGACGTCAGTATGGCCTCCACTCTCTCGAGAGAACCCCGAGTCGATCGGAGCAGAGTTGTCTGCGTCGCTGCTGTCAGAGTTGAGCCTCGACTCCGGGCTGGGCGCTTCCACGCTGTAAGTATTGTCACAGGTGTGAGTATGGCTAGTGCTTAGCTGTTATATCCGCCTTGTCTGCAGTACACCTTATATAGAGTAGTTGTTCATTCTCTCATGTACATTTTTTTTATTTTATCTTGTAGACCACACATCAATATTATTTAGGATTGTTGAATATTCATAATTTATTTTCATTTTTCAAGATTTAATATTTTTCTCCTCATTCACTCTAAAATAATCATTTCTGAAACACTTTGGGCATAAAAAAAAAATGTATATTTAAAATGCAGTATTTAAATCAACACAGTTTAATTTTGCATGTCATAAGTCGTATGTTCATTCAATTATTTATGAATTACTTATAAGTAGTAACTCCTCATTTCACTTAGGTAAAATTAATGATAGCTTAATCTTTGAAAGGTTTGCCTTGGCTCGCTGTTTTTATTTTAGCTATATTTAAATTTATTTTTAATAGTTTATTTTTTATTTTGTAGAATTTATTTTTTATTTTTATTTATTTTTTTAATTTAATTTGCTACATTGCCCAATCCTATGCTAGCTGGAATGTATGTTGCTTGCTCGCTTTAACACTTGCTCTCATTAATTAACAGCGACTTAGAGAGCCATACCCCTGTGAACAGATTGGGCGCTGGGCCAGGATTCGTTGTCGGCCAGCAGCGGGACCTCGAGCTGGAGAAGGCTCTCGAATCTGTTACCAGGCGTGACATTGAAGAGCGAAGGCACTCTCTGTTCTGGGACACTGCTGGCGGCTGCTCCACTCCAGACTCCTTCCTCTCCCAATCTGGCTATAACATGCCATCAGTCAAATTAGATAAAGTTCAGGTCAGTATTGAAACTTCTTTTGAAAATTACCTTTATATATTATTTTTAATTATAAAAAAAAATATGTTTATTTGACTTTAAATTAAAATAATATAGCCTGTTTTTAATTTAAATTTGTAATTTGTAATTTGTGTTGTTAAAATAAATTTGTCTATCATAAATTGGAAAACATATTCATATAGATGATCATACAGTTATATATTACAGTTACATCACAATGAATACCAGTTTTGTTGTTGTCATTAATAAATTATTAATAATTACAATATGTTAATTATAAGATTATTTTATGAAGTTGTAAGCAGAGCAGACTTTTATTTTGAAGTGTAAGCGACGAATAATTTCACATGATTAATGATTATTTATTTCAGATTACTCATACAATACTTTTTACCTTGCAATTAAACAAAAAGGCCTATTTAGTCTCAATAATTAAAATACTTTATTTAATTTAAATTTATCCAAATTTTCCCCCCTTCAGGTATCTTGAGGGATAAAATCAAATTATTAAATAAATTGTGAATTTTTATCTGAAATTTTTACATATTTTTTTCAGATGAAAATTCACAGTGTATTGTAAAATTAGATTTTATCCCTGAAGATGCCTGAAAAGGTGAAAATTTGGATACATTTAAAATAAATTATTTTAATTATTGAGACTAAAAAGGCCCTTTTTTTCTACTGATACTTATTTTCAGTCTCTTTCCTTATATCATCTTAAATTAATTTGTTAATTTATTTCTATCATATCCACTCATGTGAAAAAGTCTGCATAATCCTACTCACTATAAATAAACTTTTTGTACAATGATGGGGGTCCTATTCTTGTGTGAATATAATAAAAGTTCCTGAATATTTGTGAGAAATATTTATGAATAATTTGGGTTGTTAATATCGTTAACTGATAGAGTGTGAATGTGCTTTCTCTGAACACTATTATAAATGTCCTTGATGTGACAGAATGTAATATTTCTAAATAAACAAATATAAAAAAAAAAAAATATATATCGTTAATTCTGTTTTTATTCATTCTTTTAACCCTGAAGGGGCAAACAAAATTTAGTGTGTTAGCAAAAAGTCGAAATTGTTAATGATGAAACTTCGCCCTATTGACGCCTCTTTCCGCCGCTCTTGATGTGGTTCCTCCTGTCCAAGCAAATTTAGCCTGTTCCTGGTGTTGATTCACCAGGTTGGGTTAGGTGTAGCAGATGTGCTGTTAAAGGCGTTGGTCCCATGCTCCGATCACCAGTTAAGAAGAGAGTGTGGTTAACAGAGGGGTACTTGTCAGTTACCTGGACTTTGACTTAGCTCAAAGATGACATGATCACCATCGATGAGGGGGGAGGGGAGTAAATGAGACTAGTGGGCCCCAATGTGACATATACAAATGAATTAAAAATACATAATAAATTATACAGGATGTAAATCTGACACCTTCATTCCACCTCTAATTCCAATATCATCTTGAAAAGTAAATTGGATTAAAATATTAATGAATTTTATTTCTCCATATTTTTAATGTGAGCTGCCAAATTTAGTCCTTTAACATAAAATAATATATAAGAATGCTGTTTCAATATAGTTTAACTAAAAATATGTATTGGATGATTATAGCTGGTGAAGCCCCTCGAAGGCAGTGAGACCCTGCGGCAATGGAGCCAACTTGCTACTCCTTCAATGCATGGCCTCCTTGAAGATCGCCCTGGTGTAAAGGTGAGGGGTGGCACAGAACTAGAGGATCTCGGAATTCAGGTAGTTACCATTATCTATTCTCAGTTAATTTTTTTTTTTAAATAATAGTTAGGTGCCCATTGCAAAATACTTATTCATTTATTTTTGTCTATTTTGAAGCAAAATGAATGAGTTTGCATACATCATCAAACATAAATGGTGTTATTTCAACTATTAAACCATTAAATTTAAAAATTTTCTTTTTATGATCAGCCACTTGCTGTCAGTGGTAATCAAATGGATCTTATTAATTACTGCTACAATAATATCTATCAAATCATTTTAATTTTACCCATTGTAAAACTTGAGATTTAGATACACAATCAAATTTAAAAAATGAATCAATCAGAATTTTACAAAATATCAGTACTACCAGCATCAATTTTCCCAATGGAGAAATAAAAAATCATTATTTTAAAAAAGTAGTTTTAAAAAACATATGATACTTGTTTTTAGAATTGAAAAAATGAAAATATTAAGGTTAAATTCATTTATACAAATACATATATCTTTTTACTTTGCTACTATCAGTTGAATGAAAACGTGTTTTTTGAAGTTTAGAAAGATACAAAATAAAACAGGCTACTGTAATTTATTATCGTTTTAAGGTGTTCAAACTGAGAACCTGAACTCATTCCTCCCGCAGTATATTTAAATATTGATTTTCCAAACAATGAGATGAGTTATGGACTTTTTTAAAAAATAATTAAGTTAAGGACTCTGACCCAGTCCATTGAATGTCACCTACTATAACCTGTTTGTCAGGAATACAATCCAGAACCTCATGAGGGAGGATTTTATCATTTATGTTTGTGTTCTGTATTAACTTTGTTTTGTTAGGATTTGATTTAAGTGCAATAATGACTGTTTTATAGGGAAATTTTGTATTTTTTTAGTTGGACTAAAGATAAAATTTAAAATTTATTACAGAAAGAAAAGAGAGATAAAAAAGTGCTGGCACGCACTGAGGCGACAGAGGTAAGATGTAGGTTTGACGTGCATGGCCAGTGTATAACGTTAGGGTATGTGCAATGCCTCATATTACAGGCTCCCTGAGAGGATCATTCGTTTGCTGACTATTGTAATGTTTATTAATAATCTGAGATTGATTTCAAAAATGTATCTAACATGTCCTAACTCAAATAGGTATCAATAGGAAGTGGGGGGGAGGGGAGTTAAATTATGCGTGTTTTTAGGTCTTATCCCAATAATACCATACCCAAGGAAAATAAATAAAAAAACATTAGGTAATCTTATGTGCATGCTTCCTTAATCAGCAGTAACTGTGATTATCATTCCATATCATAGTGTTAATAACATAATTACATTTATAAAAGCCCCAATCGATGTAAAATCTATACATGACAAGTTTTTATGAAATATAAATTTCAGTATTTTTTCTACTACCTTTTTATAATTTTGCTATTTCTATTTTTATCAAAAAATGATCATTATGACTATCAAATTAGTTTAGTCTTGTGATTTTTGAGAAACAATGTAATGTTTTAAAAAATTATAAAAAAGAAAATTTCTGTAATAAAAAAAATTGTTCAAAGTATTCACCAGCTGCCATTTCATGTAATGTATATTAAAAGATTTTTCTTCCCTGAAAAAAAATTTATCTGTGCTGTGAGAGTGTGAAGCAAATGTTTGTCCATGTTTCATGCTAGAAAAAAATGAACAATTCACTAAGAACATATTGCATTTTGACCATCTGTATCTCCACTCCACATTTTTTCCCTTTGAACTCTTGACAACAATAAATTAATAGTTACTTATTGAAATTTGTTTTAAAAATTAGTCGGTGTCCAAAAAAAAAGAAGGTAAAATGAATAGTAGAACATAATTTAAAATATTGCTTTTTTTTTTTTTACCAAAAGGACAATTTGGCACGCATTAGTTGAGACATAAAAAAATTTAATTTGACCTGTTACCATATTTCCTCTCCCATAAGTAGTGAAGGAAGTAGAAATATAAAACTTTATTCGCCAATTTGTGGCATGCTTTGATCTAATTCACTGCTAGCTCAGAAAATCACTTTTAATTCAGCAAGCTTGTTCTCACTTAAGCTATATCTCAAGTTTTCTTTTAATCACTGATAATTTTTAGTTAAATATTTCCATCAGTGATTAGGAAAACATACCTATTAAACAAATTATTTGCTTCCTTTGACCTGTCACATTGTCAACACATAATATCCACATAATAAGGCACTGTGACCCTCAGGATCTATTGTGCGCCATGTGTTTCGCCCATTTTATTCCTAAAATGTTAATTTGGTCATTCCATCTTAGTAAGCTTAACGGATTAATACTCATAGCTTCTGGGGTAATCAACTCGGTCCTCCCCAAATAGCTCTAGAGACTAGTCTTGCAAACCTATTGCATTGACAAACGATGTGAAAGGCTATTTCATTCTCCTACTGACAGAATCTGCATAGCAGGTTCCGGGTCACTTGGAGATTGAACATTTGGTAATTTAACTTAAAGTGACCAGTATAGATCACAGTAAGTTTTTTAGGTCTGTTCTGTCCAGAATCAGTTGTAGCTTACTTCTTTTCTCACTTGTTCCTGTAAGGAACAGCTTCGAGTGTCGCTGTTCTTACTGGGTCTAGTGTTGTTTGAATTTTTCACCATATAACTCCCTAATCCTGCTTTTGGCAGTACTAAGGCTGACTCCATAAACAGATTCAGGAGTTATAGGAATAGTGTCTGAGCTTAACCTGGCTAAATTGTCTGCCTCTTCATTGCCGGAAATGCCCGATTCACCAGGCACCCACTCAATTGCAACCTTGTTAAGCTCAGAAAGATTGTTAAGTGCTATGCTGCAGTCTTTAATAACCTTTGAGTTAGTATAGTGATTGTTTAAAGCACCTATTGCTGTTTAATTGTCAGTACAGATTATTATCTTTGCCTAGCAGTTGGTTTTGAGCACAATGGCAAATTGCCAGTATTCAGATTGAAATACTGAAGCATATTTGCCAAGAGGAATTAAATCTTTTTCTTTGTTTTCTTTGCGATAGATGCCTGCTCCTGAGCCATAAGCTGTTAGAGAGTGATCTGTATAACAATTTATACCATTTTTTTGGTTTGTTTTATCAGCTAATATCAGTCTCGACATTATATTTGATGTCCAGATACTCACAGATTTGTATGGCTGGGACTTCATTGCACTCAATTCTATTCAGCAATTTGGTATGCCTCCCCTCCTCCTGTCCAGGGATATAGGAGCAGCTATTGAGCTTAATCCTTCTCTATTGAGCCTGTATAATGTCCTTATTGCCTGAGCCTCAATCTCCAACTGCAATGGTGGAATGCTCAACATCAACTCCATAGCAGCCGTTGGGATGGAGCCCATTGCTCCCGTAATCATTAGACAGGCTAATATTTATACTGATAATATAACTATCTTTGTTATTATATTATGTTAGTTTCTTATAATTATATTATGTTAGTCTTTGCTCTATGCCACTGTAGCTAAGCTGAGTATAGTATAATGAGTCTTGACTGTCGTTATGTGCAGCCAGTTGACCATTTTATATTTAAGTCTCCAATTCTTTCCTATTGCTCTGTTACAGGCCCATTGGCATTTGAGGGATTTGCTTGTCACACACTGAACCTGTCTAGTTCATGACAATTTATAGTCCAATATGACTCCAAGGTGTTTTACTTTCTTGCTGTGCAGTTGGATCCCATTAATCTCTGGCATTCTTATAAACATATTTTTCTTCTTAGTGAAGATGCAAACACTGAGTTTCTGTGGATTGATGCTCAGCCCGTTAGAGCTGCACCAATTTCTCAGAATGTCAGTTACTGTCTTGAGAACATCAGAGAGAACACTGATACTTCCCTCCAATTAGGATATTAATATCATCAGCATATCCTTGTGTAAATAATTTCCGCAGTGTTAAGGGCTTCCAACAAAGAGTCAGCCACTAAACACTACAGTAGAGGGGAGACCACACCTCCCTGTGGACACTCACCGCAAGGTTTAATCCACAGTTCATTTTGCTCTAGTTCTCTAGTTCTCCCAATCCATCTAGTGGAAATAGATTCCACATCTTTCTTCCTTAGTGCGCATCTCTTATGATGTCACAGGGAGTTCTATCAAAGGCGCCCTTGATATCTACAAAGACGCCTATCATGATTTTCCTCTGTTCTAAGGATTTCTCAATTCTTGTAACCAAGTTATGAAGTGCCACCTCACAGGATTTTTCTGGTTGGTAGGCAAATTGTTTTAAGAGTATTGGACTTGTAGGCAATATATATTCTCTGATATGCTTGTCTAGTATCTTTTCCGGTGTTTTCATTAAAAAGGAAGATTGGCATATTGGTCAGAATGCCTTGGGATCTTCATAAGATTCCTTACCAGGTTTTGGAATATAGCAGTCATTGGATATCCTCCATTTGATTGATAGATATCCTAGCACTATGGTACCTCTTAGTAGTTTCAAGAGGTATGGCCTTGTTACTGAGAGACCTTTCTGCAGTAGTGTTGGAAAGATCCTATCAGTGCCAGCAGATTTAAATAGAGAGAATGAATGTACCACCCATCCAAGTCTGCTGTTTGTAATTATTCTTTTGGCCAAGTCCCACACACGTACACCAGCACCACCTGTGTAGTGGAATCAAGAGGTTCTGTTTCTGTCATCCAACATTTGGTGAAGTGTGCTTATTATCACTTTTGAGTATCCCCAAAGTACATTGGTTAGCTTGTTTAGACAGAATCTTACTTCTCGACATGCAGCAGGAATATTATCCACCTCCAAACAAAACCTTCACCAGGCTTGTCTTTTGGCTTTCCTGACAGATTTGTGATACTCAGCAAGAGCTTTGTTATAGGTATCCCGATTGCCAGATGTTTCAGCAGCATTGAACAATCTTCTTGTGAGTGTCCATTACTTTGGAAGATTACCATTCCACCAGGAAATGTTCCTGTTGGTTATGGTTTTTTTGACATCATTTCTGTTCATGATAGCGCCAGTTGATGTGTTAAGACATTCTAATTGCCATTCACTGTGGATAGCTTTGGGGCAGCAGTTAATATCTGTCTCCAAATTAGTGCTATAGGAATCCCAATGTGTTCGTTTGTTTTCCCTAAATTCCACATTAAGTGAAATTAATTTAATTTATTTTATTAAGGTTTATTTTTGAGTTTATACAGTATTTAATAAAAACAACTTAAATTAAAATGAATGATTATTGGCATTTGCAGGTGGCTAAGGAAGTGTGCACAAACCTTTTTTTTTTATTATTATTAAGATTTTATTATTTCAAAGTATTTTAAAAGTTATATTTTTTTCTTATGAAAATATACTTTTCACAAGGATTTTTAAAGTTTCCATTAACGTATTGAAATAATAATTCATTAAAAAACTTATTTGGCTAATGTACAGAATAGATTTCAATTTGAATATAAATAATTCTGTCAATATACTATAATTGATTTCTATTAAACAATACAATAATTATGTTGAGTCATTAAAGTCAAGTTATTGAAATAATTTAATTATTAATCAGCTTGTGTGTTGCTTCTCCATTCACTTTCCTAACATGCATCAACTCAAACTCTTTAGTGTGAAAACTACTGTTTTATATTTTCCTGTTGAATAAGTATCTCTTGTAATTCATACCATTGTTTATATTTTTTTAATGCATACTTTGCTATACATTTTTATCATCTTTGCTTAACTTTTTTTTTCTAGACTTACTCTTTGTCAGATGTTGAGGAAGATGAAGAACTAAATCCAGGAAAGAGCTTTTCTGATACTAATCATATCTACACATTTGTCAACAGCCGTATTATGCATCCAAAGGAAAATATCGCTCATTGGTAAACATATTACATTTTTTGATAGATAGAAATTACATTTTAGATAGATTATATTTTTATCTGAAATGTGATAAGTAATAATAATTCTGTTTGAAAATTATTATTACTGTAAAAGTAAATTGATACCATGGTCCGGAGACTTTAAAATATGTTGACTTCTATTATACGTGTTTCTTTTTAACACTTTATAAAAAATTATATATTGAAAACAAATTAAAAACAGCACAATTTAACAAATACACGAATACTCAAGTAGTCCATTTGTTTGGTTTTCATATAATTTTAAAATATAAAAACATATTGATTAATATTACTTTTATACTTAATATTTTTTTTTTTTTTTTTTTATGAATACATATTCCTGCTATTCTGTATTGCTGGAGTTATAATATTTGGTTTTCACATAATTTTGAAATACGGAACATATTGATTACCTTTAAGTATTGATATACAATACCTACTCCTGCTCTTCTATGTTGCTTTAGTTTTATTGTTTGATTAAAAGAAATTTTCCTCTTTTTTTGTTAGATTATATTTTCCTTAAACAGACTAATGAACATTTATTAATACAATTAATGTCACATTCTAAGTTTGTATTTCAATTAAAGTTCACTTCTAAACAAGCTCTTGTAATATAAAAAAAAAAATTGTATATATGGCAATTTGTTTCAAAACCTGCTTAGTCTATTTCTTCATTCACGAAATGGTTTTATTTTATTTTTCCCTAGTTCTCAATGCACTTCAGCTCCTTGCAAAGCTGTACCAACCAACTAAAAAAGCTTCTTAATTCTTTATAAATATAAGAAATTAATTAAACTTAAATGATAATCTAGTTTAATTAAGTAGGCCACAATAATATATTTTTGATGTCTCTTGTGAAATTTTGAAAAATGGACTGAGCCTGACAAAACTCATGAAAATTTTCGACTCTGAGTTTTCAACGGAAATACATGTTTTGAGGTCTCATGAGTCCAAATAACCAAAAAAAAAAAAACCTGTACCACTACAACCCATGAAGGATATGGGGTTCAGTACTAATTAGGGAAAGCACTGTTTCTAGGTCAACGGTTGTGCAAGGAGGTGATTTGACCGAGATCACGCTCAACCGCCAGGTTTTCCCCCTTAATTAATTATTTAATTAAGGGTACCCACTTTATAGAGGCTGGGTGTGCCCCAGGAGGGACTTTCTGACCCAAGGTCGCCCCACGGCCAATGAAACAGATAAATAAATTCTCTGCCATGAGCCGGGGTTCGAACTCGGGACCTTTGCATTGGAAGCTCAGTGCCCTACCACGGAGCTACCCCGCTCCCCCCAAATAACCAAGTCGCGCAAAATGGTGTGTGTGTATGTGAACAGTCTAGCTCAAAAATGAAAAGTCGTACGAAAGTGATATTTCATATTTAAGGTTTTTATATACCTTGTATGTTACAGCAACTTTTTCGTAAAAATCGGCTAACCGAAAGTGCCACTTAATATCAACGGAGAAACAAATTTTTACAATTTTCTCAAAAATGGCTTTAACGATTTTTATTAAACTCAGTGTATCATTGTATAATTAAGTGGTATTTAATATCATTTAGGTCTTATCCCCTTTGATGTCACTTTACAGGGCTTAAATGCCCAATCTTCATATGCGTCTTTCTCTAAAGTACCTTTAATATGGTTTATTTTAAATAATTAATTATCTCTCATTATTAAGAGTTATGAAAAAATGATAAATATAACTTTTGAAAGAATTTTATAATTGAGCAAAAGAGAAAAAAATAAAAATGCTTATCAAGGTCGAAAATGAATCTCCGGATATATTAGTCAGAAGGTATACGTATAATATATCGTTGGAAAGTGGAGAATTTTAGAAAAAACAATATCTAATATAGAAAGTTTTTGAAGGTTTCTATAAACTAATTAACATTATTTAATGTAAATCACGTGTTTTCAATGAAATTTTCTTACTAAATGTAAAAAAATTATTTAAAATCCACAGATTCAAGGCAATGCCATTGTTTTATTGTACTTATGTGAAATAAGAAGTGAAATATAAAAATATTTCATGGATTCGTTTATAATCTTAAATTTATTTACTGTAGTTTAATAACTCTAGTTCTGATATTCTATTTAAATAATTAAGTTTCTATCATCCGTTTATTCCGAAAAATCGTCATGTAACTTTTTATAAAATTAAATTAGTGAATAATTTAATGAATTTTCCTTTTGTGATATTACAACAATATCCACTTACAATTAGTGTGATAACTTTGGACCTGTCTATGACAGAGAATGCAAATGTTTTAATTCCATTTTAGTAAACTTTGCAATGGAAAATAACAGTTTAATAACTAACAGTCGTACAATCCATAATCAACGGATCGTATAGTCCATAACCAATTGGTGATATAATAAATATGACTTTTGTTATTTTAATAACTAGTAGGCCCGTGCGAAAATTTCGCACAGCATATTGTTATCAAATGATTAAGACATCAAATGTTATTTTATCGATAAATATAATCCACAAAGCAAACCAAAATTAATTTAAATCTTCATTTTTGTTTGGAACCAACATCTATACAAATTTCAGTAAGCTGTATATTTGCAAAAAATTGTCCGATTGCGATGATTTTTTTTTCCTTTTGGAGGGAATTTAGTAATCTTTTATATAATTATGGGCATGACCAAGGGAAAAGTGTGTAATTTTTCAGTTATTCGCAAATAAAGTTTATTTTCCTTCATAACTTGTTTGCCTGAATTTTCTGGGTGATTGGACTATTTTGCCAGCCTGAAGGAGAAGGAAATTAGTGGCTCAATCGTGAGATTTGGTGAAAAATTAACGATGATATGGCTTACCGATCAAAAACACCATCGATGAATAATATAAACTCCCCCTCTCTCGATCATAGAGACCTCAAGTCGACGAAATGAGACATGTATTCAATGACAGTACTACAATTAATGTAAGGTTGTATGGATGGGAACCCTATGCCTTGCGTTATCTCGAAAATAGTACGTTTTTCGGCTTAAAAACGCAGGATCCGATAGTTCCGAAGGAACTATCCGGGTCTTGCTGTACGCATCAAAATCTTTAAGATCCAATTTGTCCCGTATCGATCTACAGACCTACCACCGTTCCAGTATCAAAGCCTAGCAAAATGTTTGTATCGACTTTATTTATTTTAGAAAGAAAAACCAAAGTGTAGAACACGATTCGCTAACCCCCCGTGAAATTCTGAATCCAACGGTACCCCATTCGTGGTATTTGAGCATGACAGGAGCTTATATTTGGTACAAAACCGATTTCGAACCTTACTGTAATAATATATGTACGGATATTTGTGATTGTTAGCTGTAAGCTTTTAGTTTTTACCTCGGTTAAAACTGCAATTCAAAAATGTTATAATAGCCCATGGCCAGAAAATAATTTCTATTCAAAGTTGAGGAGTAAGTAAAAATTGTGTATTGCGTGCACCAGATTTTTTTCTAGTGATATTTATGACTTAAAATCGATAAATATTTTTGTGATTAAAGCAGTTAAAAGGATATGAATATATAACATAATTATTCGCTAATTAATTTTTAATTTTTAATTAGTTACGTTTTATTGAAATAATATCTATTTATTAGTACAACTAGCAGCAGTAGCAGTCAGATGGTTTGGAGCGCGCCAGGACTGAGCGGGAGCCTGGCGTGCACTCCCAGCGTCCCGCCCACTCCGACACCAGCTAACAGCCCATCGATGACACCGATGTCAACGCCTGCTTCTACTCCTGCTAACAGCCCAATGAACAGCCCTCCTGACAGGCCTTCATCTCCCGTATCGTCATCAGCTCTTACAACAGCTCTTTTCAATCCCTACAGTAAGTGTTTAGCCTTGTGAACTTTGTTGACATCTAGTGTTAGTTTAAGAGTTATTCCATTGTCTTAACTCCAGTTGAAACCAGAGTATGAAGGTTGACAAATCTTTAATGGATTGACTTCGAATGAGGCTACATGTTTTACTAATATAATAAAATCAGAGGATAAGGAAATAAAACAAAACACTGATATTTAATTCCCTCATGAGATCGCCTTAGGGCTGCCTTATAACTGTGGGAGAGTTCCTTTAGGTAAAAACAAGGGCTTGAAATAACATTTTCAATTTTGTTTTCCCTTGTAACTGTTAGTTAAGGTTTTATAGAACTTTTAATATTAAATTAATGTTAATTTGTAAGTTCTGTTGATTTTGCAAAAAATTCAATATAAATAATGACTTTCATTCTTAGCTACTCAAACAAATGACACATTAGAATAAAGAAATTCATTTAAGATAAATTATAATACAAATATAGGCTCATTTGCTAATTATTTCTCATTAAACGCTGTTTGTTTTTTTTTAAGAACTTAAATAAAAGTTTAAACTTTTGCTATAAACCTAGAACTTCATTACAAGTAAATTCCATATAACTTTTATTTTAAAAACATTCTTTCCTAAAACGAGAAACTCAAAATTCAACTTTTTAAAAAAAAATTTCATTAAAGTTTCAAACCTTAATAAAAATGATATTTTTAAATATTTTGATGGAAAAAAGGAAATTTTTTAATTTAGGTTACCTGAGCATCATTAAGAAGACAATTGGATCAGCATTGTCACCATCAGTCCCACCTTCTCAAAAAGTTTTAGCTCGCCCTGACAACAAGGTAATTCTTATTTGTTTTTTGTAATCAATAACCATTTATTCTGAGTAGAATAAATGTAATTTATTGACTTGATTAATATAACCTACCCAGTATCAATTATTTCTAGGGGCTTGTTACTTCTTATTTGATAAAATTATTAATTTATCTCTTTCAAATGTTGCTATTGATTTGTTAAGAATTATTTTAAGGTAATGTAAATATCTTATAATATGTACTTACTAGCTTCTTAGCTGACCTTTTCCATTTTAACAATGTCCTTTAAATTTTACTATGATATATTTATTAAATCATAATTAATATTTCTGGTTGATTTTTCATTGGGTAACTAATTTATTAATTTTTATAGGCAGCACTGAGAGGGTTCCGATTAGTTGAGAGGATAGAGCAGCAGATCGGCTTGGAGGAAATCCTTTGTCGAGAGCCGGAGAGTGGGCTGCACAGAGCATCATTATTGCGACGTGGTGTGCGCTCGTTGGCTCGGGGCGAGCTCCTTGGAGTTCCTGGTCGACCTGGTACTGGTGTTCTCGATAATAGGCTGAAACAGCTTAAGCGTCGGCCTCGAACTGACTTGGGTTCTGTGCAGCCCCAACTATCCGTCTCATCATTTGTTTTCGGCAGGAAGGGTGGCCTCATGTAGATTGTCTTCCTTAGTGAACGTAGTTCCAATGATTTGATGATGATCTGCCTGATGAGGCTTCGAATATGAATCGAGGAAACATGAGGCATGGGTATAGTAGAGATTACTGACATTAAGGCAAATGTAAAACACTCTCACGTAGAACTAAAAGACTCAGTTAATTTTGACTGAAAATTATGATTCCTATTTCTTGTTTACAACTACCGACATTGTAGTATCTTAGTGGGTGTCATCTTACTTTGCCTCAATGTAGCCTTGCCCTGATTGTAAAGATGGCGATTTCAAATTGATGGGCGAGTGGCCATGAGTATTATTGTAGTGAAGTGAGTTTGTTTAGTCAAACAGGACCGTGGCGGTTGCAGGTAGGTTTTCTTAACCACCATTCCATCGCTCAATATCCTCTAAGCCAGGTTGTGTTTAATCTCTGGCTTTCTCAGGTTGGTCCACATACCTGTAACCGCTTCGGTTGCTATGCTTCTAATGAACACAGATATTGTAGATACTCACGATTTCCCTAAATTTAGTTGAATATGTATAAAATGCCTAATAATAATATGGTTTATTAATTTAAGCAAAGCTAATGATATTTATATATATGTACATGCATACACCTTATATTTATATATATATCTGTTATCCTTAAGGCACATGCGTTAGGTAGAATTTTATCTAATAGTTCTTATGAATTATTTTTCTGTTTTTAATGAAAGTCATAATTTATTTCTTATAATAGACAGTATATTCACTAAAAATCAAATTTTATTTAAGTTTAAAAATTGTACATAGGCACATTAATTACAAGGGATGATAAATAATTCTAAATTTGTTATTATATTTGTAAATATTTAATTTAAATACTGTAAGTATATTTTGTTATTTTCATTTTCATTATATTTATTTTTCAACTTGCTTTTGTTACAATATTAAGAGTGTCAAGCTGGATTGTTTAGGGCATTAAAAAAATATATTTTTTTAAAAATAAGTGTTGAGAGTTACTATTTAAAAAAAAAGTAAACTAACTCTGAACATTTCAGCTGTTGATGATAGATCTGTTATTGACAAGATAATATTTAATATAATTAAGATAATTATCTTATTGATACTCCTGTATTAGAATCATTTGTCATTAATTAATTCAACATATTGAACCATGCTACTGATACCTTTGCTATTGAGTAGATTTTTTTTATTTGTCTTGTTAAATATCGGAAATATTTTTAAATAGGGCCAGCAAGACTTATTTTTAAATAACTAGACTTGTATAGGATTGGCTGTGCACTATGTTGTTGATAAATTGTTGAGGCATATTTTGACAAGTTGCCATGTATTTTGTCTACCAGTCAGTTAGCAGGAATGTTTTTTTGTTTGTTTTTTTTGTCTTAATGAATTTTTATCAAGACTTTCCTAATTGCAGTTTAATGATCTGAAGTAAAAATTATTGCAAACAAGTTTTGTGCTTCTGTTTGAAGACATCCAAAATTTGTATTAAATAATTCTTTTAGAAGTATTTAAATATTTATTTTGTTTTTCTCTGTTGAATGTTAAAGTCTAGTCTTCATGATGTTGCAACTATTATAAGCAAGGGAGTTTAAATTTGAATTTCTTCCTTGGAATTTAAACTATGTAGAATTTAGAATAAGTATTATTGAAAATTGATATTAAAAAGTGTTAGTGAACCTAGTTTGAAAGTTGTAAATTATAGGAAAAAATAATTACAAAGAGATTACATTTTAATTTTGTGGTAATATTGTTTCATTAGCAAGTTGATGGTGCTTGCCTGTGATTAGTTATTTACGGCTGTATACGAGATTTGTAGATGTTGTTTCCATGATAGACTTGTGTAAGAGAGATATGCAGTCAGCATATTTGCTTCTTATCACAAGTGAGGAAGCGCTTCTACAAAGGGTAACTAGAGCCCGATCTAGCCTCTAGAGGGACTATCTTAGCTACTTCCCATCACGTATAGTTAGCCGCATTTTTTGTATATTATTATTTTTATGATCCTTGTATATACTCTGTATATATTTATAGATATATAAAATGAAGCCTTCTAGCCGAAGATAGCTTTTTGAAAGCTAGCTGCTATTTACATGAACTATTCTCAGGATCCAACTTGCTATTGTTGAACTGTTGAGTGGTTTTTCTCTTATTTCTAAAGTTACTATTATGAATATATTTATCAACTTATAAACATGCATATATATTTATATATTTTGTGAGCGTGATGGTCAATATCCATATATTAGAAAAAAAATAATGAATTAGATACGAGTGTATATAATAATATAATGTAAATGTTTCAATATCAATTGTCAATGTACAATAAACTCAATTGTAGATACAAATTATAGTTATTTTTAAGTGGGGTTAAACCTGTCAATTTTTTTTTCTTGTTTTTGTTTTGTAGCAATAAAATGTTACAGAGAGTTTTAATCATTTCCTTTTATTTCATGAATTGGTCAAATGTTGTTACTTTTACCATTCCTAATAACGTTGAGTTGCCTCTTCATATCAGATGAAATGCTAACTTTTTGAGATAATAATCATTTAATATGAATGGTTGTAGTTCTATGAATTGATCCACATATTATCAGTGTTAGTAATACTTTTATTTATGGTTTCTTTTTTATTGTCTAAGTTTTGCATATTGCAATAAAATGTTGATTTTTTTTACTCTGTGGAATATCTCTTTCTATTCAAAAAATTCTGGTGCGCTCAACACACAACTTTCACTTGCCGCTCTTCTTTGAATAGAAATTATTTTCTGGGAATGTTGGGCCATAATAAAACTTTTGAAGTGTAATTTAAACGGAGCTAAAGCTTAAAGCTTACATACAACAAATCATTAAGACCATTGAAATCACAAAAAGTCTGTTACTTCGATGGTAGGCAATAAAAATATAGTTACTCCATCTGCTTTTATAAACCACATAACTTCAGTCTCTGAGCCTTTCAGTTGGCAGAATGATTTATTCCAATTTCAGCATTTTTGAGTAATCTCATTTTAGTGATATTTCTAGTTGGAAAAGTTATATCTATACAGACAGTGAGTAAGTTGATTATAGAACAGAGACAGTGTTGAAATATAGAACTGTGAATAAAGGTATAAATTTTACTACTAGAAACATCACTAAAATTAATAATAAAGAATGTTGAAATTGGAGTTAGTTGTTCTGTCAACCGAAAGGCTCATATATGCCTAGAAAGATTTTAAAGTGCATCCGAATATTTAGCCTATACATGATTATGGATTGTAAGACTATTAGTTATTAAAATGTTATTTTCCATTGTAAAGTTTACTAAAATAATATTACGAGAATTTTTTTGCCTGTCATGGATAGGTCAAAAGTTGTCACACTGATGTAAGTGGGTAATGTTGGGATTTCACAAAGGGAAAATTCATCAAATTATTCACTAATTTTATTTTCTGAAACATTATTTGATGATTATTTACAATAAACGGCCAAATAGATATCTAATTATTTAAATATGATACATCTGGTATTATTAAACTACAGTAAATATATTTAAGATTATAAACATATCCATGAAATACTATTTTAAACAATGGTATTGGCTTGATTCGGTGGATTTTAAATACTTTCATTCCAAACTTAGAAAAACATTTAAAAGTTCACATTTAGTAAGAAAATTTCATTTAATTTCATTGAAAACAAGTGATTTATGTTAAATAATGTTAGTTTGCTGAAATTATTATTTATATTTTTTTTGCCACAATCCCTTACCTTCTACAACTTTATTTATTTGATATTATTTGTTCTAAAATAGTCAGCTTTCCAAGGATATGTTTAACTATACTTTACATTCTGAACGTTATTTCCAGAGATTCAATTTCAACCTGGATATTTCTTTTTTTTTCTCCAGTTTCCAATTATCACATTCTTTCAAACTTCATATCTGGGCATTTTTTATGGTTACTGTCAATAAAAAAGAGTTAATTTTTTTAAATAATCGATATTAAAGATACTTTAGAGGAAGGCATACATGAGCATTGGGCTTAAGCTCTGTAAAGTGACATCAATGGGGATAAGACCTAAATGATATTAAAGACCACTTAATTATACAATGATACGCTGAGTTTAATCAAAATCGTTAGAGCCGTTTTTGAGAAAATTTTAAAAATGTGTATCACCATTGATATAAAGTGGCACTTACGGTTAACTGATTTTAACGAAAAAGTTGCTGTCATATCGGAAATATATAAAAACCTTAAATACAAAATTAAAGTTTTGTTCGACTTTTTGTTTTTGAGCTAGGTTGTTCACAGACACACAGACCATTTTGTGGGACTTGGTTATTTGGACTCAGGGGATCTCAAAATGTGTATTTCCGTTGAAAACTCAGATGCAAAAATTGTCACGATCGGAATACTTTCCCTGACTATATATTATATATATATATATAATGTAAGTGAAGGTAAAAACATATCTCAATATAATGAAAGTTTAATGGTTTTCTCTTTCATTAAAATGTGAGATTCAACGTGGTAAGTTTTTGAATTGGGATTGACGAAATATTCTTTCAGTTTCATTCAATTTATCCAAAAAGAAGGCTCAATTCTCTCTTCATAAAAGACAGAACCTGCAAGGAATAAATACCTGGAAGACTTGAGGCCTGCTTAACATGGGAAACAATCCAAGGTGTTGAAAAGAAGTAATTGATTAATGATTAATCTATATAGAAGAATTACTATTTCAAATCTTTAGAAGTTGTATAAAATTGTTCTTCTACTGTACATAAAAGTTCTACTCTAAATACTTAATAGTTAATTTAAGAACTATAAATTGTGAACATTTTCCTTTATAATTTGTCAGGATATCCTAAAATTGAAATTTGTGATCAACTGGATAAATAGCTGAGGGGCTATTAGAAATGGAGCACTTAGGGTTTAGTTTATTTGAAAGTGGACACATTATCCTTAGTTGAGTAATAGGTCAAGAGCAACAATGCTGCCACCTTTCAAGGACTCAAGAACGCGATATTTATTAGGCCTATAGATTTAAAAAAATATATTGTGGATCCATTTATAATTAAAATATTCTTTGATATACATAAAGAGATCATACATCTGTGCTGGGAGATAAACCATAGCATATTTTCAATTTGGGTGCGAATACATGTTTCGTAAGAGAATCATCAAAAACTAAAGTTATGGATAGTAAAGGTATACTGTCTTCTAGGAAAACTATTTTAAGCTGGACATGACCATATTTATTTTTAAAATTGGTCTCTCCTTGTAGTATTTTTTGGTTTATGCCTCTGAGCAGTGTTTTGAACATTGGCTAGAAACTCCTCAAGAAAGATATCTGTTAAAGCAGTGGTCTAGACAAAAATTTTGAGAAAACTAATTTTCCGATTGCTATAAAATTTCATATTTAAGGGTTTTTTAATTGGTAATTGGTTGACTGTCGTGGATAATGAAGAGAAGAATAGTTGGGGTGGTCAGTCAAAAAGGAAGGCAAAAATAAATGATAATATTTATTTTTACATATGCCAAACTTTGCCTAGGGATGGCATATATAATTGGCATATGTAAAAAACAACTGTTCTCTTCATTAAGGGTTTTTTGAGGTGTGAAAAACTTATATCAACTTAGTTTCTCTCTAAAAATTATTTACTCTATCAGATCAGATTTTCATAAACATTATATTTGGCAGATAGCTACAGTATGGACATAATTTGATTCAACAGACGTAGCAATGTGAGTGTAAATATTTTTTTAGGGAGAAACAAAGTTGATATTCACTTTTCATATACCAAAAATCTTTAACTGTGTTGAACAGATCAGTACAGGTGTTATAATACGCTGTTGACACAGGCGGATTGATTGGGGGAAGGAGCTTTCCGGCTGAAGCCCTCCAAAATAGTAAAATATAACTATGTTATATGAAAAAAAATTTCTCATAAGTTCGTCTAATTACATTTAATAGGACTTAAAGAATCACTTAAACACCATTTCATATCCGTACTTAGTTTCTTTCTTTCTTCCTAAGTAATGATCGGAACGTATACATAAAAAAAATTACTTTCGGGTTGGAGCCCTTCCCAAAATTAAACCTTGGATCCGTTATTGAGTGTCGATATAGATATTGCGTGGAGTCCAAGCAAGCGGTAATTGAGGCATTTCATGCTCTGGAAGCTGCTGCGATGCAGATGGATCTGATTATAATGACTCGGAAACACGGACTACAAGCATAACTGACGGTCAATTGAACAGAAAGTATTATGGCGAATTTATGGAGAACCAATCGGAAGCTGAATGATCTAAATCACAATTCAAATCCTCTATTCAATCCCGTCCCACTAGATACTGTACTTCCGACCTCTATCCTCCTCCTCACTGAACTGCTGCATTTGGCAAATCCTTTGTAATTCAAGCCGTCTCTTTGTGGAAATCTATCCCTCCCGATACCCGACATGTACAATCACTTGCCTCATTTAAATCTCTCCTTTTTAAGCACCTACTCCTTTCCCAACTCAACTGATAACGAAATGTACATATAAGAACTTTTTAAGTTCCCCTAGAAACTATTTGTTTACTTATGTTATTTTATTTTCCTACATTTATTTTATATATTTCTGTGTTTTTCTTTCTGTATTTTTATTTTAATTTGATATTATTATGTAAATATTTAATTTAATGAATTATTCTAAAGGGACAACAGTCCCAGGATAATACAAAATATTTTCATTTCATCACACCATGAGCCGGCTATATCATGTTTCACCAAGATAGAAAGACAAAAATGGGCAGGAAATTTAGCCAGAATGTCTGACAAACTACCTCCTAAAAAAGTGTTGGTCGAGCCCCTTTTTAGCCGAGGCTAAGTTGGAAGGTCGAAGCTGTGGTGGTAGATTGTGTAGCCCACGACTCAAGAAAATATGGAGGTTGTTCGAGGTAACCAGAAGCCTTCGTGGGTTATAGCGCTAACAAAGAAGTCATTTTGTGTAGCAAATGTGTATTTTTAGGAACAAACTTATCTGTAGAGAAATACAAGTTTGAAAACTAGCACGGTGTGATAAGTATTTTCATAAACTCACTAGTCAATAACTTTCTTAAATGTAATGTTCTAAATATTTATTTGATTTAGTTTCCTATTGGTGCTTTTTTTTTTTTTGACCTCGCCGTTAAGGCTATACGGAGTTTTCCCGGGCCAGGGAGTATGGGCGGGGATTTATAAAGACTCCCTCGGCACCGGGACGCGAACTCGTGAACTATTTTTATATCATTTGATTGATATATCAGGTTGCCGGGCAACGGCGGTGCTGTGCTAACGCCACATCCAGCCACCCCGCCCACTATTGGTGCTCTTATTCAGCTAATATAATATCTACAGTGTAAACTAGAACCGAAAATAGAATATTAGTTAGTTGGAGCAAACTTATTCTTGTCGCTCCCAATGAAATTCTACATTTTATATCAGTAGTTTAAGTAATATATTTCCAAATTAATATCATTACCAGATATCACCGGTTTATCGCAAAACTAAGTAACATTTCA